TATCCGATGCATATATTAAAATTATATGTTCATTTGAAAACTGAAAATTACATAGAGATTAAGATTTACATTTACATAAAGACAAAAGAAAGGAAGGAAGGAAGGGTAGGAAAGGAGGAAAGAAAAGAAGGAAAGATCACTCTTCTATAATGATATGTCATATTCATATATGAAAATTTAAAAAATTCCATTTTTGTGGCCTCATCCTATTTAGTGTGATACCAGAAAAATCCAGTAGATGGCACTCATATTTTTGAAAATATGGTATTGAACAAAATCAGCAATGCTCAAACTTCGTACTATTTCAGATTAGAATGACTAAATAAAATTATAGAAGCAAACATTTAAAAACTTTCTATTGTCATGAAGAACTAATGCTTTTAAGGTACTCTAATGCACATGCATACCTTACAATTTTCACTTTCTATTCTAGTGGTTGGTAGAAAGTAAGCATTTATAATCATTATCTGACAATCAACTGCTTGACAATAGAGAGCTACAAGTGACTGTTGAGAGACCAACAAACTTTCCATGATGGACTGTGTTATCACTATTTTCTACTAGTTTATATCCAATGCTTTTATTGGCTTTGCAAAGATATCACTAGCATTTTTTTTTTTTACCTAGATAAACAGAGATTCAGAAAGAGTAAGAAATGAGGGGAAAAGTAATTCAACCAAGAAAGATAAGCAAGTACAAAATAATCTGGTTTCTTTAGAGAACTGATAATTCATACTTAACTCCTTGATTAATATATATGAGCTAAAGAACAATTCAAACCATATTTTAACACACATTTATATGCTGGGCATATACTATTCCAGTGCTAAGAGAAAACAGCATGGAAGACAATATCCCCAATCTCATGGAATTATGTTTAATCATAGTTAAAAGAAAAAAAGAAAGACATCACAAATTATAGAAAGCATGAAGAGAAACTAGGGTGTATGATGGTATAACTGAGTGACTGTGTTAAATTGGCTGTTTAAAGGAAGAATTCTTGGAGCTGACTCTTGACTGACAGAAGCAGGTAACTATGCACAGACCAGAAGGACCACTCCACGTAGAAGGAGCACAGTTTGTGAAGCACTGCAAAGGGTACAATAAATTAGGTGAATTCAGGGAGCAAAAAGAAGACCTATGTGGCTGGAGTGGAATGTGCAAGACAGAGAGTAATATAACATGAGTTCTGAGAAGTGCACAGAAGCCAGATGGATGGAAAAATGAATGAGAGAGGAAGAACAAAAGGGAAGTAAAAAGAAATGGGCAAGCACGTTAAATTCAACTTAAAGATTCCTTTTACAGGTTGATACTTTTGGAAGTTTTCTATTAACCCATATTGCTGCTTTAGCAGATGCTAAAGAACAAATATAACTATTATTTGATATTTTCAGAAATTGCCAAACATCGAATATATTTCCTGTTTGTTTGTTTTAGGTACTAGGGATTGAACCCATGGTGCTCTATCACTAGGCTAAATTTCTGCCTTTTTACACTGAGATAGGGTCTGACTAAATTGTCCAGGGGGGATTCAAACTTGGCAACCTTCTTGCCTCAGCTTCCTTCACTGGAATTACAGGGACACACCACTACACTGTAATCTTAAATTTTATCAGTGACCAGAGGATTCCTAGAAAAGAACACACTTGTATTCAATAAACAGAGATGAACAGGCAGTACTTTTAAGAGATACCTAGAATGTAACAATCAATAACACTTGATTTGAATCTGTTTTGCACTGACTTACCCTTCCAGGAAGGCAGAAAGGTATTCTTATTTAATTAATGGTTCATATTTGCTGATTCTGATTAATCAATGTTTTCTGGTACCAGGGATATGATTTAATAATTTCAATAATTCTCGAATTTCTCTTATCTTCTAATATTGACTTGTATAAATTTTATAACAAGTAAATGTTCAAATCAAAATATTTTTAAGGTATGTGAGAACTAAAGTACAAGCAATTAAACTGTAAAGAGGCTCACTGCTCTGTGACTTGATACAAACCAAATAATCCATCAACATTTTAGTTTTTCTACAAAAGGTAAGATATATGTTTGATCTCCTGCTGGAATTTCAATACGAAGTTTTGATTTTATCAGATAAAAACATTTAGAAAAATAAAACCTCAGTATTTTACAAATTTTGATTGGCACTAGATTTTAGAGCTGACATTACTCTGGTCTTATGATTACCCCCATGTCATCCATACCTACTCAGGACTGTTTCGAGCATTCACAAAAACTATTACAGCAACCAGTTTTTTAATAGTACTATGCATACTTTCAATAGTGACAAAGCCATATCCAGAAATATTCATTAATAACTGCATTTACATCTATTAAACGTATAATAAGAGTGTTATTTTAACAAAATTTTATTTAACAAGAAACAAGAACTGCAATATATTACAAGTCTGAAAATAATTTAACTTAGAATCATTTCAGTAATATTGTTCTTCTGACCATAAGAAAAAATAATTTTCTCTGACTTAGTGGGCCTGGTTCGGAATAGCCACTTGTGTCAGTCATTGTTATTAATTTCCCGTTTTACTCTTTATTTTCCTAGACAATGAATTCTGGTGCTGTTGATTTTATAAAGATGTTTTAAAGATGAATTTGCTATATGCTGAGGATAGTTGTTTAAGTAAGCATTCAATTCTACCAGTTTTAGTCTTGATACTTTCCTTAGCAATAGCTGAGACAGAATTTTACCATCAATCATGACTATTACATTTCTTCCTCTAATAAAAGTTAAGTATGTTCTTCAACACATAATTCTCTGCACTTTCATCATATTTAATAAATAAATGTGACCCTCTATAAATGAACAACATTTTACCTTACAGAGCAGAAGAAAGTTCTTATATCATTTCTTTCATATATTATTAGTTAATACTGTCTCAATGCTATATTTTGTCATGACAGTAAATGAAATAAGAAAATAAAGCTTATTCCCAGTGCAACGTATTGACCATTAGATAAAAATATTTTGTTGCCTTAAAAATACAATGTTTAAAAAGCTTAAATGCAACTAACTATACATTCCTATCTCAAAAATTTCAAAGACAGTTTCATCCTTTCCATCCCAACCCCCACCAATATTATTTTAAGATAAAAGGGGCACAAAATTCAAGATTTTATCTCTGCTTCAGGCTAATGACAAAGAATATTTTTCATTTTTAGTTCACATCCTGAAAGAAATTCCCTTGACAGAAAATGTTCTGAACTAGACTCTGACAGGCAAGCGTATTTGGTTCATTTACACTTTTCAGGATGACAAAGGAGAGAAGTTGGGTCAAAAACGTACACTGGTCAAAATGTACACTTGGGTCAAAAAAGTTCCGCTAAAATAGATCAGCTTCAAATGTTAAAATACTTTTTAATACATTGAACAACTTCAAGTTTCAAACTATATATATTTGAAATCCAGAACACCTTAACCTAGTATACCCAGAATTTAAATAGTCTCTAATCATGTCACTGAACTGCTACTATTTTCTGGACTGCAAAGAAATGATTTATTCATCATAGTGTCACAGTTATGTATGATGGATTGGTACAAAATAGAAAGAGACTTTGTCCTCAGCAAAACTTAGAACAGGGCCTGACTAGTGTACGTTGTCTGTCCTAGCAGCTGAATTACTGCTTACTCATCTGGTAAAATTCAATAGATTTTAGACAATATAATTCACAGCATAATTATCTCTCTATAATATATTATCAGTGCCAACTGACTGTGTTTTCTAGATTTAAATTTATTATAATACAATGACTTCAAATTAATGTTAGACTTTCTGAATCTCACCATGGTTATTCAAGCTCTAAGAAAAAAATAGGCAGCAAGGCAGAGTATGGTTTTTCTTTGGAAGAAAATAGTACTACTGACAAATACAGGTAGTATAGAAATCCTCCCATCATACATACCTTAAAGTTTTCCCTTTTCCTTATTTTATTCTCCCATTTCAGGAAGAAAGAAATTTTTAGTCCAGTGGTCATGTTGTATATCCTACAATTTTCTTGCTGTTTTTCTCCTAACCAAATAGCTCCATTAATCAGCGGGTTAAAAAAAATCAGGCAGCAAACTATCTATATAATCCAATATTATCCTCAGTGGAGAGCTGAAAATTAGAAAGTTGCTTCTGAAAGAACTTTAGTTTCATTAAAGAACTATGGTGGCACGCCAGGAATCCGGGAGCAGTATTAGTATTACTTTGGGCTAGATTTCACTTTGGTTATAACTAAATATGTGATAAATTCCAAGAATTTACTTAAAGAATGTGCATTCATTTAAAAATTGCCTTACTTCTGGAGTCATTAAACTTAGCCTGAAACATATTTTTATTCAGAAAATTGCAGTTAATTTTCCTCAGAATTTATGACTTAGATTCTTGAAAAAAAAAAAAAAAAAGCTCCAAAACAGACCTTATATACTGCTGGTGTTCTACATTGATAAACTAGTTGAGCTTTGTACATTCTGATTTTTATTGATTGTTGTATTTCTTTTGCTTCATACAAATTGCTCCTTTGATGAGACTGATTCAAATAATTCCTGGTTATTTTGATTGGTATTATTAGGTTGTATTTTGTATTACTCTACTATGAAGTGCCAAAGTAATCATTCATTTAATTAGATGAAAATTAATTTAAATCTTAAAATATGCACTTATAGAATTTTGAAATAATGAAAACACTGAACCCTATGGTTTTCTTCTCAAATTAAATCCATATGAATCCTGACCATATAACTGAATATTCCATCTACATATTCTATATGGTACCTATGTGAAAAAACAGTAGCATCAGTAATAGTTTATTCTGTACATATATGCCATTGTTTATGAGTAGTACAATAGGTGGCAGTCTTCAGTTCACATTAATATTTTAGCTACCACTAATGAAAAAAATCATTGGCAAGTGAAAAAGGCCTTTCTGCATGTTAATAATGAGATATATATAATAATAAATATTCACAAGACATAGAATGTAGGTAGACAAATAGACTCAAATAACAGAGAATTAAAGTCAGAACTAATTTCAACAACCACTTTCCACTCCATTTTTGTGTAAAAAAAATACACTGCAATTCATTGCAAGACTTTTTTTCTTCTGAAGCAAAATCAATTTATTAATTTAAATATTTAAAAATAAAAATAGTCACGTCTGAAAACACAAATTTCCTAAACAGATGGCAATAGCTACACATCCAAAAAGAGAGTTTTAAGTTTGCTTAATTTTTCAAAACTAAGGATGTAAAACAGCATGTTTATAAAAAGCTGTGGCGAAGTAAGACTTCTCTAAAACTAGAACTAAAAGTTCTATCTTAACATTAGTGAATCTAAGTTAGCTGCGAACATTTCATATTTGACATTTAACTACTGAAATCCCAGTTACAAAATCAGGATTCTTACATCAACATTTGGTATTTTAAAATACATAAATGTTGTTCTGCTTAACAGAGTCTTGTTAAACAGTTTCAGTACAATTAGGTGTTAGATAAAATATACCTTCCTATCTAACTAGTAAGGAGTACTAACAGGGAAAAAGAAGTGATGGTTAAAATTTAGTGGCAATGCTAAGTTTGAACTAACCATAAGTATAGTTTTCAAGTGCAGTTTTTCACGCCACATGCAAAAATGAATCTTGATGCCCATAAGAAGATTATGTTCCTCTCCTGGTAGATAACTTATTTTCACTCTAACCAGTACTAGTATTAGGAAGAAAACTGTCAGGCACAAATTGCTAGAAAACAGCTGCAGATGCCCTAGACTTAAACTCCAAAGACACACAGAGAAAATGGAGAAAATTGGCTTTTACAGATGAAAGGCCTCAGAGGACCTCTGTCAACAAATATCTTATGACTGGAGAAGGATTAAAATGAAGTAAGTACCTTTGAAGGTGAAAATGGCAACAAATAAATGAGTCAATAATCTGAGCACTTATTTGTAGGTGTGTTTGTCTAAGCTTGAGGTAAGCTACAATAAAGAATGAAAAATATAGATAAGAAAGAATAGAACAGCTTAAGAGTCAGGGGAATATAAGTCTGGGAAAACAATATCTCATTCTTCTTTCTCTCCATTTAGAAACAAAATCATACCACACAAAACTTTTAGAGTTATATTGAGCATCAAAACAAAAAATTATTATTATTATATGCCAGTAAACTATTTGTAGATTTCAAAAACTCTGACTGTTCTGAACCTTAGTTTTCCACCAGAATCTGTTGTAATGGGTATCATTCATATATCCATCACACTTTCACTCTAAGATGCTTTGATCAAGTCTCAGAGGGATCGTTAATTTTTGAAAAGCTATTTTTCTGAAGATCTTTCTGTGCCAATATCTGAAAAATAAACACATAATAAATATTCATAAGGAAAATAAAATTTTGTTTTGTGGTACTAACAATAAAAACAAGAGCCTTGCATATTCTAGGCAAACATTCTATATACTACCATTGAACTATATCTCTAGTCTAAACTGAATTGTTAATAAAGGAGTAGCATAAAATTCATCTAAATTGGGGCTGGGGATGTAGCTCAGTGGCACAGCACTTGCCTGGCAAGCACAAGAACCTGGGTTCAATTCCTGGTACAAGAAAAATATTTTTTAAAAATTTACATTTAGCATAGCAATTTAGACATTCTGAATTATGTTTTTTAAGGTTTTTACACAAAATACAATTCTAAAAATAACTTAATTGGAACTTTTTTTGAATAAGAAAATGTTTCCAGAAAATATACATAAAATAAAATGTAATACATTCAATTAAAACTGTATTTTAACATATTTTAAGTCTATGAATGTCTCATATTAGAATAGAGTATGGGACATATTTTATTAATTTGATGAACAACCAATGTAAGCAGAAAGTAATTTAAAGTGCTCCCACACATTGTGAAGTATGTTTGGAACGAAAGTTTCTGAGATCATAAAAGTCTGTAATAAGAAAGTTTCAGTACAAATATAATAAAAGTATAATTTATCACTCTCAAAAACAGAAAAGCTTTTAAGCATTATGATAGTGAAACTCACTCAATGACTTAATTCTCCTAATAATAGAACAGTTTCAGTTAAGAAAATGTTGTAAGGTCAGGTTGAATTTTTTAAAATTTAGTTTGAAATTGTAAATATTGCTTTTGACTGTAACTCAAAATAGTTCATGAGCTTTTATCCTGACTTTAGTTTTATTCATTGTTGCTTTTTGGTTTTTTCAGAGGAGCAAAACACTGATTCAAGGATATAATTTAGTAAATCTAAGCTTACCAGAACATAATGTAATTCTAAAAAGAAGTTAAACAATCAATGACGGCTTACCATCTCCAAATATTGTATTTCTGTTTGGAGAGTTTCATAAACACTTTCCATATCATCTTCTTTATAAAGCTCTAATTCTTTCTTAAGTCTGTTGTAAAAGATAATTTCATACTGTTAGTTGAACAATTAAGTTTTACAATAGTTTTTATTACACAGAGAGATGCAAGCTTGTAGCTTCAAAAATCAGAATTTCAAGTTCAAGTTAAAAATATTAGAATTTCAATTCTCTATTATTCTATAAGGATTATATGAAAATTTGAGAGGAAAAATCCTATAAAGAAAATAGACAATAAATAACATATTTATTAATTTTTTGGTAAGTCCAGTTTATGAAAAAAAAGTTCTTTATCTAAAGACTTCTGATTTAGTCTTGGCCACTAACAATCTAACTAAGCTTGATTAAATCATTTAGCATCTCATAATGTCACTTGGATATTTTTTAAGTAAAAAAACAGAATCTCTGATGTTCCTTCTTGCTCTAAGGTTAAAAGATAACTTCATAATTTATATGCATAATTAAATTATATTCATAAATTTTAGTGGTAGAATTTAATACTAATCTTTCTTTTTCTCTATTAAATAATCTTTTCTATAATTTGAATTTTTAAAAATTCTTTTATGCTTGTATTTAATGTGGATAATAGTGAAGAAACAATTCTCCTTTTCTAGCATTATGACTAACATTTCTTCCAAAAAGGAAAACATAATTAAAAGCCATGAGCTATGACTGGGAAGGTAGACAGCTAGTATCTGAAACTATGTGGGTAGGTAGGAGTGTGAAGCAACCCTCAAGGCAGATACCATGAGCAACATTGCTCTCACAAACCTGAACAACTCTTGGCCTAGCAATAAGGTAAAAAGTATGGATCAAATTGGACCTTTGCTGAGCCATGATCATCAAAGGGAAGGAATTTTAGAACAGCAATATTCCCTGGATATCAGGAATAGCAAAAAAAAATTCTCTCCAAAGGAAATGTTAACATGTTTACACAAAAGGCTTCTATAGAGAAGAATGACATTATACCAAGTATCACCAAGCATCCAACTAGGAAATAAGGTACAAGTCACCAGAGACAAGAAATAACACATTATACAACACAATGGAAAATGGACACAAAGGAAACAAAAGCCCCAGAATTTTAATAACTTTTCATAAGATATCCAATAGCTAATAACAACATGAAAAGATGATTATTAGCAACTGACAAAATATAAGGAAAACATAATGAAATTCCATTCAGCAGGCACCAGAATGTCTAAACTTAAAGTCAATACCAGGTGTGACAAAGATTTAACAAAATGAGAATTTCCAGAATCACATTCTTTTATATATATATATATATATATATATATATATATATATTTATTCACATTCTTTTATATATATACACAAATATATTTAGAGAAAAAAGCAAAACAGGAAAAAGGAAAGAACACAGAATTACAAAAAGTAACAGTAAGAAATCACTCATTGATAAGTAACATATTATTATCTTAGAAGTAGTTGTTAGAAATAGAATTTACAAAATCAAAGCATAAAAAAATGAACAATCAAATAATGGCAGTACAAACTATTCTGTTTGATGAACTAACAACAAGTTAGTAGATGGTTTTCTATCTTGCACACATACAGTTATGTGTGCATATCTGCATGTTGTTCTTACCTTTCAAGCACTTTCTTTCCCTTTCATTACTACAATACTATGCATTTTGAATCTCACTACTCTTTTAGTTTTTTATGATTATTTATTTCTTACACTACAGAGAAAATACGATATTTACAAATATCTGATTCATTTAACTTACAAGGATAATCTCAAATTGCCTCCATTTACCTATAAAAGCCACAAGTTTATCCTTTTCATAGCTGAGTAATATTCCACTGTATAAAAATACAATGTCATTTTCATCCACTCTGTAGTTGATGCGCATTTTGGTTGTTTGTAAATTTAGCTATTACAATTTGTGCTGCTATAAACATGGGTGTACATATATCACTGTGACATGATCTTTTCGGCTTTTCTGGGAAAATACTCAGGAGGTGAATAGCTAGATTGAATGGAACTTCCAATCCTATTTTTTTTTGAGGAATCTTCATACTCATTTTTTTTATTTAAGGAGAAAATTTAAAAAACAGAAAAAGGGTACAAGTAATACAAATTTTAAAAAATAAACAGTAAGAAATCACTAGTTAATAGATTACATGTTCTCATCTTAGAAATAGTTGTTTAAGTTACAAAATTGAAGCATATAAAGTGGACTTTCAAACAGTGACAGTGCAGTTTTGTTCAATGATCAAAAAAACTCAGTAATATGGTTATCTATCTTATACACTTAAACATATATGCAGTTATAACCTTTAGAGCACTTTCTTTTCTTTTCTTTTGTACAATGAAAATTACACATTTGGGGTTTTATTACTCCCACAGTTCTTATTACTTTTTTGGAAGAGAGTAAAACCAAATACGACATATCAGAACAGAGTCAGTCAAATCAAAAGCATGGACATAATAGATAATGTAAAAACAAAATACAAGGTGATCAACAATGGTTACCATACTGCCTCTTGCTATTTTAAGAATTTCCAGTTGCAATAAAATTGAACAAAGCAGTAAAGAATGAAACCAAAGCATTGCAGACATTACAGGACTTTAAAAGAAGATAATAGTCAACCAGAATGGGTGTCATAATGAATCTTATTGTCTTCACAGTTTTGCCTATACTTTCGAACTTGGTACTATCAAGCAAAGCAGAATAGGGGAAAATCAGTCAAAACAAGATGGTGAGGGCAATACAGGATTTCAAATCAAGTTAATAGGAAATCAAAGTAGGTTACTATAATGTATTCTGCTATTTTTTATTTATTTTTCCCTTAATTAAAAGAATAAAAAGAAAAAAGTAAATAATTTTAAAAAAAGGGGAGTGAGATAAAAGAGGGCATAACAACAAAACAGCACAGGTCAAAGCATAACCATTTAAGCAAAATAGTGTTGCACCACAAGATAAACTGACATAAAAATAGTTACCATAGTGTCTCTATCCTTGAAATCTTTGAGTATAACTTCATATACTGTAGCACCAAACATATCAAGACACTATAAAACCATTCAAGAGAATGACAGTATTACAGGGTATTTAGAACCAATTAACAGAAAATGAACAATAGTTTCTGTATAATTTCCTTGTCTATAAAAGTTTTTACTTATATTATCATATATAATAAAATTCAATAAGATACAACTTTTTAAGACTGATAGAGACAGAAGAATACAAGTTTGATGGGACTTCAAAACAAGATGATACTAAATCAGCACTAGCTATTATGATGTCTTGTTTTCTCCAAAATAGCTGTTCCTACCATGCGATCTTCTCTGCCTCATTTCTGTTGAGCTCTTTTTCTTTCGTTTGTTGTCAGTTTGTCTTCTTCATTTCACTTTCTGCTCCATTCATTGTGGCCTCCCTGCCACTGTTTCTGGAATCTTGGTATTTTCCTTTTTTAGAATATCCTTCAGTATTCTCTGTAAAGCTGAATTGGTGGTTGCAAATTCCCCTAGTTCCTCTTTATCCTGGAATCACCTTGTTTTTCCATCAATTTCTAGGGACAGTTGTGCAGGATATATCAATCTTGGCTAGAGGTTATTATCTTTCAAAGCTTGAATTATTTCCCCCCATGTTCTTCATGATTTGATGGTTTGTGCCGAGAAGTCTGCTGTAATTCTGATGGGTGTTCCCTTGTAAGTGATCTGTTTCTTGTCTCTGAAGGCTTTTAATATTCTGTTCTTATATTGGATTTCTGGAATTTTGATTATTATATGCCTGGGTATAGCTCTGTTTGGGTTGTAGGTGGCTGGGGTCCTGTATGCCTCATATAACCAAGTATCTTTACCATTTGCTAAATTAGGGAAATTCTCTTGGATTATTTCTGTGAATAGCTTTTGTAGTTCATTTGTTTGTGTCCCTACTTCTTCTTTCATGTTCTTAATTCTTAAGTTATAAATCCTCTTATCATCTTCTAGCTTTTGTATTGTTGCTGTTTGTTTTTTTGTTATTTTTAAGAAGTTTTTCATTTCATACTCTAATATTACAAATCTTCCCTCCAGATAATCTATCCTTAGTTTCTTTCAAGCTGTTATGCCAGTTTTCGACAGTTTTCAGTTTCCTGGTAATCTCTTTGAACCTGCTTCACGTATTCTATGTTTTCTCTATTTTCTCCATCAAACAATTCTCCCCTTTTTTTCTGTTCTTCCATTCTACCATCTGTTTTTTCTTGGGCGGTGTTTAGCATTTATCTAACTATTCTACTTATATCTTGCTTCAGGTCATTAATAACTTCATTCCTGAACTTGTCTATGAGGCTCTGGAGATAGCGCTTTATGTCTATTGGTGCCATGTCTGATACTGCATGTTTCTCAGGATTGGGGGCCGAGGACACTTTCTTGTTGCTCCCTCTTCCCATACTTTTTGTTCCTTTTATACAAGCGAATATAGGAGGCCTAGTTTCTTTCTTTGTCAGTTACAGTTTGTTTGAATTGCACCAGCTAGGTGTTCCCGCCCACTGCAGTGTACTAGGGAAACAGAGATCTGGGCAGCCTATGCTGGGCCCACCCCTCCAGGTCAACCTACTGAAGGCTTCACTGCTAGGGTGCACCTCCAGGCACTGGGACCTGGTTTGAGCTAGCCTACTGGGTCTTAGTCAGTGGCATCACGCAGACCAGGCACTCCCCACCAATCCTGCTTGAGAGGGGAATATGTGACTGAAGTCACTGCAACAACCTGTTCCAGCTAGTCTGCCTGGTCCCAGTATGTCCTTTGCTAAGGCCTCCTATGGAAGGGTCCCCGATCCGCTCACTCACCACAGGTCAATGCAGGGCTCCTGGCCAGTCCCCCTCTCAACTCCATTCACTGCTTCCCATTCTCAGAGCTTTCGCACCTCTCTCCTTGCCGCACCAATTGGGACGCAGCAGCGGCTGCAGGAAATTCAAATCGCAGCTTCCAGTGGTGCAGGGTCCAGCTTCCATGCTGAGACCTTATCTGTTCCTGTTATGTCACCGGGATTGCGTTTCCAGTTGGTTTCTCTTATTTAGTTCG